GAGGGTGGACAGTTTGCTTCTGACATTTAAATCCCTAGATAGAGTGAAGGAAGAAACTCCCGATGAAAGAAAGAGGAACTGAGGACCTAAACTGGTTTGGGGTTATTGTTTCAGAGAGCTGGGAATACAGGAAGACATTATCCAGCCCCCTTTTTTGGAGGGGTGCTGAAAATTTTTTTTGGGGGGGAGGAGGCAGCTGGGAGTATCTAATATATACCCAGGCCAAGAGAATTGTGGTGAGACGTCATCTTTCTTCCCAGCAGGGGAAGATTTATTAATCTGGTATGTCATCTAGGATGCTTTTTAGCTGCAAATAATAGAACTTGCAGCTCAACTGCCTTAAACAAAGAAAGGAATTTTATGGGCTCAGTTCCTGAAAAGTGTAGTAACTCAAGGGATATGACCAAGACCTAGTGTCTTACTTCACCCATTTTTTGGCTTTACTTTCTTGGTATTGGCATCCTTCTTGGCAGGTTACCTCCCTTATGAGGGCTGATGGCCATTCCTAGGCTGTTCTGTTTGCTTTTTGATTCATGTTAACTAAAAAAATGTGACTCTCTTCCCCAGTAATTCCCCAAAAGTTCTGGGGCCTCAAACTAACTGGACCAGTTTAAGCCACGTGTTCATCTCTGATAATAATCAGAGGAGTGGGTTTTGCTGGCATCTTAGGCCTGAGTCATATGCCCACATTTCAGAATCAGAGGAAAGAGTTGGCTTTTCCTGCAGCACATGGGATTCAGGGGGAGAATAGATGTTTGACCCTGAATTTTGGGAATGGGGGATAGATATTGGGTAGCAAATGCCAACTACACCTGAGTAGAATTTCAAAAATCTGAAGCCAAACACCCGGGAAACTTTGGGTGTTTATCTCTCACCCTCACCATCTGGCTGTCAAGTCGTCCAATTCCACAAAGAGGGGATGTGAGTGGGGCCCCAGCAGAGGCTCCATTTGGAAGCAGAGAGCTGGGAGGGGAAGGCCATTGGTGTCCTGGCATCTGTGTATTCCAGGAGTCAGCATCTTGGGATCTTAGTTCATTGATGTGAAAGGAGGCAGGGAAATAGCCCCAGAAACGGAGTGCCTGCCAGGTCCAACTTGCTTTAGGTAAAAACCATTCTGATGGAGTCTTCTCCTTCTGCCTGAATCTCAGGCCCCTGCTCAGGTCACCTGACGTGGATCGCCATAGACGGATCGCTGAGCGAGGCAGCCCTCTAGTCTCAAGTGTGTTTTTAACAGTTGCTCTCAGTGAATATCGGTTTCTCAAATGCCTTGCCTCATTCACGGAGTCTTTCTTTTTAGCTGCTGCTTAATCAGCTGCTGCCCCTTAGCACACTGACCTAGTTCTCAGACATCTTTCGTCTGGGCTTTTAAGGCGGCGCCTCCCCTCTGTCACTGCTGACGTCAGCTGGCTCCACCCTGACTTGCAGCTGCTGTGCTTGTCCCCTGCCTGACGCCCCAGCGGAGCAGGGGCCTTTGCCCAAAGGGGCAGCCGGTGTGGCAGGCACAACAGAATGAGTCTTAAGGTGCCGTGGCCGGAAGGATGTGGTTATTGTGGCCTCCAAAGCAAGGGCAAAGCCCCCTCTTTAATGGGCTGCTGCCCCTTCGCAACAAGGTTGCCCTTGACCTTTCTTGAACTGCTTCCTGGGCCAGTGCTTTTCTCAATTTCATGTGCATAGGCATTATCTGGCCATGGGTTAAAATGTGGTTTCTGACTGGAGACGGTTGGGGTGGGGTAGAGCTGGAGATGTTGCATTTCTCACAAGCTTCTAGAGGTACCCATGATGCTGCTGATGTGTGGACTGCATTTTGGAGGGGCAAGTCTTTAAGGCTGTCACCCAGAATGATCTTGCAAGTGAGGCCATCTGGTTTTTGAATAAGTCAGAATGCAGCGCTCCTTGGGAGAGTTGGGGCTTAAATTCTTAGGAATCAATTGTTACCTGAAGGTAACAGGTGCCTGGTGAAACTCAAGCCTTCTCATCTTTCTTGGCTGATAGAGGTGGGTGATCATCTTTGCCTCTGTTTCCATGTCTACATGGGGTAGGATGACCTTGGCTTATTTCCCTCTAGCCTTGGGAATTTGTGATGGGTACACAGTACTGTTTCCTCATTTCCATAGGAGAGAAACATGGGAGCTAGCCTGTAATTCAGTCTCCCCCAGACTCTACTTCATGCTCCTAAAAGAGCCTGTTTCTGGAACAGATCACCTCCAGGACACGTTTCTGGGAGTCCACACAACTCACAAACTCCCATCCGATGCTGATGGTAATTATCAATAGGTATGAACATTATAAGAGTCTCAGCTCCAATTCCAGCCCCTTGCCCAAATTTCCAAGAGCTTCCACTTACACAGGAGTTGTTGTTGTAGGTCTGGGAGCCCCAAAGTGGTGATGACAATCTATGTTCTCGCTGACATGGGCTGTCTGACCTCTGGGTATGATCTCCATCAAGTTTGTTCCACAAATGCAGCATTGGTCTGGCCCTCCCCGTCTTCTGCTGGGCCTTATTTCATCTCACCCTGTCTCCTGTCTGTATAATCCCCCAGGAGGAATCAGGTCTGAACAAAAACATACAGGAAAAAACGCTTGAGGAATATAATCTGATGATATAACCAAGCAGGATATTTAACTGTCTGGTTGACTTCATTGTTTTGCTTGCACCAGAGGGAGGAGGGGGAAAAGCTTGGGAGGGCTGCTGGAGGAACAAAAGTGAATTAGGAGGCTCTTATTTCACAATCGGTTGCCTGCGCCTGTGTTGGCTAATGGATTTATGATGAAGCTTGGCTCTGATTTCCAGCTGGCAGTTGCCTGGGTTCAGGTGTCTACCTGGTGTCTTCCAGGATGCTGTGTAAACAGCTGTAAGTAGAGCTAGGCTTTCATTCTGCTCCGAGAAAGGCGAAAGTGTGGGTTCCCGGGCTTCCCAGGGGACTAATTCAGCAGCGGGAGAGTCAAGGAGAACACACGCCACTTGGGAGGGGGAGCCCACGCTGGGATTTTGGTCGTTTTTATAGTTACAAATGCAAGTGTTTGAGACTGAAATCTGCATTTAGGCAGCAGGAGGAGAAACATGGATGGAAATGAATTATTTATTCCATCGCAGGGGCCCTGGAATCATGGAGTGGGCATTAATCTCTTTTGGACAGGAGCCTCTGAGCAGGCTTGAGGTCCTATGGACGAGATCTGACCCCATCTGCTCCTGGCCAGACCCCTCGGCCTTGACTAATTTGCCTTAAGATAATTCGAATAAGACCCTTTACCTGCTGTTCATAAGGAGACTGTGAATATTTACCTAGCACTTGGTCAGATAGCTGAATGTGCTTGCATCTGTGATTTCTCTTAATCCCAGAATTTCCCAGCAGGTCTGAAGGGAGAGGGGAAAGCAGGCAGGAGCCAAGTCCCACTGATGGTCTACTGGGTGCTGGGGACAGGGGTGTCCCATGTAACCTGCTCCAGCTGAATGTATGCCAGCCACTGACTCTGCACAGTAATCGAGCGAGGGAGTGTCTATTGTGCCCATTTCACTGGCGGGGAAACTGAGGTTTAAAGAGATTCAGCATCTCACCTAAGGCAGCCCAGCTCTGAATCATCCTTGCAGGGATTCAAGTGTAGGCTGCTAAGGTACCCCCGTCTCACAATCCTTCTACTTCCCCATGGTAGCAGGTACAGTAAAAACATTTACAAACTTTTCCAAGGGCAGGAAGGGATGAACAAATAGTTCGGCGGTTACAGCAACCAGGATAAACAGAATAAACCCCAGTCCCCATGAAGAGCCATTATGCCCCCTTCCCACCCTCCTGTTCTGTCTGTTTCTTCCGGGGTTCATAAATATTTGTGTGTGTAAATGCTGTTTCCCTCTCTTCCTCTTTCTGTCCCTGCTCTTTGGTGAAGACAAGGCATTTTATTAAAAAGTTCCCTCCAGGCTCTCTGCTAGATTTAGCTTATTCTTCTTGCTAAAACATTTCTGAGACAGTTGCCTAAAGCAAGGAACGGTGTGTCTAGGTGCTTTGTGTGCTTTGTCTTCAGTTATCAGGCAGGGCCCTGCTTCTGTGGGGGGAGGGGGGTGCCGGGCATACTTCTCTGCAGGGTTTTGAAGTTGCAGGGTCCTGAACCAATGCACACAGAGCTATGCAGCTGACAGTGCTTGTGTCTTTGTGGCTTCATGGACTTCAAACCATCTCCCTTCCAAATCCATCTGTTGTCTGTTGTGTATTGGGTGTCATAGCTTTGGAGATCATATTACTGGACAGCCAGGGGTTACCTACCTGAAAAGGTAGCTGAGCACAGGTGAGGGAGGGCTCTGAAGGCAGGGACTTCTAGTACATGCTTCCTAATTTTTAAAAAATATGTTTTTATTGATTTCAGAGAGTAGAAGGGAGAGGGAGAGAGAGAGAGAGAGAGAGAGAAACATCAATGATGAGAGAGTCATTGATCGGCTGCCTCCTGCATGCCCCCACTGGAGATCCAGCCCGCAACCCAGGCATGTGCCCTGACCGGGAATCGAACCGCGATCTCCTGGATCCTAGGTCGATGCTCAACCGCTGAGCCACGCCAGCCGGGCCTGCTTCCTCCTTTTGAACATTCCCTTTCTTCAGTGAACTCCAGTTCACACTCCTGTGTCTTCCACACCTCTCTTTCCCCTCCGCCCCACGACTTCACTCCGTGGAGCAGCCTTGCTGTTCTTCCCTCGGCTCCTGAGTTTCACTTTCACGGGAACTGGGAGACTTTACTGAGCCTCTGGATGAGCAGGGCCACNCGGCTCCTGAGTTTCACTTTCACGGGAACTGGGAGACTTTACTGAGCCTCTGGATGAGCAGGGCCGCACGTGTGTAGCATGGATGAGAGGCTGGCCCTTGCTGCTGAACGCCTGCAGTCCTTGGGGGAGAGGGTCGCCAGAGGCCCGGAGTGCGGGGACAGAGCGGTGTGGAGAGCGTGCCTCGAGAGGGGCGATCCTCCTCTGGCCTCTCCCCTTGCACACGCCTCCCTCCTGCCTCCCGGCCCTGGCTGCTCTATGGAAACACTCAGCCGGCCGGGCCCTGCGCTCCAGCAGCTGCATTGCATCACGTGGTGCAGTCCTATTACACTTCTCTTTGTTCTCCACTTGTCTCTGTCATGTCGCCTGCCTTGATATCCTATCTTTTGTTGGACCGAAGACAAGTAAATCTTCCCTAAACTCTGTACGCCATATGTCGCCCTCCCGATGAAACGCTTTGATGCCCCTCCCTCCCCCTATAGGATATCCTTATAGTGTAAGGAACACCCACCCTCCTTAGCCTGGCAGTCAGTGTGCCACGGCTTGGCCTGGCCTCAGCTCCCATCCCATTTAATGAAAACCCTTTGCCAGGACCAGGCCTGTGCACTCGTGACGCTCCAGTGTGCCAGGTGCAGTCTGTCTTTGGGGTGCTGCGCACTCAGCTCCCCTTATCTTCGCTGTTTTCTCCCTGTCTCTAGCCATCTGTTGAAGTCTGATTCAAGTTTCACTCCCTCTGGCACCCCTTGCCTGGCCACCTCAGCTCTGCAGAAGGCCATAGTGTTTCTAGTACCACTCACTGGCCACTTACCCTGTACTGTCCCCTTCTGTCACTTATATCTCTCTCTTCATGTCTCCCCAACTAGTCTGTGAACTCTCAGAGGTGAAGGACCTCACTTCCTACTCCTTGTGATGTGACCATCACGATGCCTCTACAGACAGATGCTTGATGGTTATGGGAGGGCGGGTGGCTGTACCTGATTAGTGTTGCACAGTTTCTCCCAGTGTCAGGCATAACCACGTGACCAGAGGGTAGGGAACACATAAAAAAAGAAATCAAGGAATTAAAAGTGGGTTTAAAATTTTAGATATCTTCCCAAATCTCAATCTATGAACATCATAAAGGTAGTAGTTTCATGTTTGTGGGGGATGAGTAGTGTGGTTTTGGGGATACAGAAACTGACAGTGGGGTGAAGAGGAAGGCAGAAGGAGGTGAGTTGCAAAGGAATGGAGGGAGAGCTCAAATCCAAGAGCCTTGTGTGGACTGAGGAGCCCTGGGTTTAAGCCCCGACTGCGTCTCCAAATGTATAGCTTGGATAAGTCACGGCACACCTGGAGCCTTATTTGTTGAGGGAAAATTAGGACCCTGCCTTGCCTGCTCCTGATCTGTTGGGAAACCAGATGAAAGCAATTTGTAAACTGTAAAGTGCATTGTGAATGGAAAGGAGTAATGTTACTATAAAAGGCATCATCATTTAGCATCTGAATCCTCCCACAGCCACACTGTGGCAGGGGTGGATCGATGGATAGGCCTATTGTGACAGGATGGAAGCCACCAGACTGGAAGGAGCCTGTGGTCAGATCCTGCAGGGCCCACAGTCCTGCCTCTGGGCAAATGTTGTCACATCAGGGAAGTGTTTGCCCAGGCCTGGGGCAGGTGTGTGGCCCTAACCTTGCTGAAGACAGGTATAAGTGGGAGGCCACTTCTAGGATGCCATAGGGTGTCAGTTACCATGGTTACTGTAGATAGGTTGTGGGGTGTCAGTATGAGCTTCAAAACTAGCAGAAGACCTGACCTGGGTTGTGGTCCCCGCTCTATACTTGCCAATCCTGAACACTTTCTATAAATACAGTATTTAGTCTATCAAGCACCGACTGAATGCTTTGTGGCCACGATTTTAGTTAAGCCTTGAGACAACACTGTGAGCTGGATACTACTGTTACTTTCCTACTACAGAGGAGGGAACTGGTTCAAGGATGTTAACAGACTAATTCAAGGTCACTGACTAGTGAGATACAGGAGCTGGGATTGGAACTCAGGCCTCTCTGCCAATCCTGAGCTTTTAGCCACTAAGCTCTGCTGTCTTTAACCTCTTAGAACCTCAGTCTCCTCATCTGTATCCTGGGGATTATATCTGCCCTGCTCTTTACATGGGGTGTGAGGATCTCGGGAGAGAATGGATATGGAAGGACTGTGTACACTGGAAAGTATCTGGTTTGTATGAGTAGTCACTGAGCACCCACTGCATGCCCAGAATTGCTTTGGGTGCTGGGATACAGTGGGGGATGGGATAGCCAAGGTGGGTGCTCACACTGAGGTACGTTCCAGTCAGAATCTGTTAGTAGACAGAGCTGTTGGAAAGTGGGGAGGGAAGAAAAGAATGCAGCCATCTAAGAACAATGGTGTTTTCAGAAGGGAAGAAGTCATGTTAACCGGGAGCCATTGCCCTTTCAATCCACCCCCCTTCCCAAGTATAAATAACAGGATCAAATGAAGAGATGAAGCAATGTGGGAAATTTACAAAGACAGTTAAATAGAGCAAAGCAAAGAGAGTGCATTTTACAAAAGAACAAATCATTTTAGGACATTTTGATCGGCATGAAAAAGGAAATCACAGTTCTAGAAGGTGAGAAGTATGCAATATATCTAGATTTTAGTAAAATCACTTGAAGGAGAAATGGCCTGAGATCTTGCCTGAGAAATTAATTCAAATTGGCCAGGGTGGAAGCTGTGCCACTCAGAGTGAGAACTGGCTGGGGGGTGGGAGTGAAGGGCCTGATGACAAATGACCACAGCTCTTGGGGGGTAATGGGGTTAGGTGAGAAGACTCAATTTAGCGATCATCACTTAGTGATCTGGAAGAACGGCTAAGCTCCTGTAATGACATTCATACATGATGCTAAATTGGGAGGTGTCACCATGATGGCTCGTGGAAGGAAGCACAGAATAGAAGGACGGCAGTCAAGGTCAGGAGGCCACGGTCACGAAGGCAGGAACAATGGGGGTGGGGTGCAGGCAAGGGCAAACAGAGGGAATTTCCTTGAGGAAAATCTGCAAACATTAAAAAATATATATCTAGTAGCATCAAGACAGGAATGAGAGACAGATGTTCAA